CAAACATCCCACTCTTTCAGTAGCTGCAATGATTTCAGTGCAAGAAATCTCATATGATTGGAAGATATTTCAAATGTTACCACAAATCTTAGGTACTTGTGGATACAAATGCCCTTACCACCCAATAGAACAAAGGAAACATATATAAATATGGATGCAGTACCACAATTCAAGGACTCTGAAGATTCAAACATGGAAGAAGAAAATTCCCCATTGACGGGTAAAACAAAAGATTCCCTTTTGCTTGTTACTGAGAAAAATCAGATTCGGATAAGGACATGAACAAGAATCCAAGTAGAAAACCCGGAAGTGTTCTCAATGCGCAAATTGCGGGTCTTAGAAGGACTGTGCATTTGATGCTGATGGGTATTAAGATTCAGACAAAAGGAGACAACTTTACGACACCCTTTGACGAAAAGATCCGAGAAAATTCAAAGCTGGTAATAAAGAGGACAAGCAAAACAAGAAAAGGGCAAAGCATAGAAAGAAAGACATGAGATCTAAAGCTTAGATACAAGAATGTGGGTAGCACTCACCAAAGCAAAAACAGCTCAAATGCCCAAAAGGAGAGAACTTTTCAGATTCAGAGGGAGAGGAGAAGCTGAGGGTGAAGAAGCAAATGCGGAGCTTCTTTGCTCTTGGACCCCTTTGCATACGCGGTGAGAGATTATTTAATCATTTGATTAGGGCTGATTAATAATGCTGAGGAGAAAAACGATTGTAACGTTTGAAATCTTATGAACAGAGATAGAGAGAGAGAGAGAGAGAGAGAGAGAGAGAGAGAGGGGTGTCGCTGCCTCGGGCTTGAGACACTGCTCGTGCTTCGTTTTGTACTCTTTCTGCCCAACGCAGCATTTAATATTATTGTTTGTTTTTTTCTACAAAGAATATTTGTTACTTTTTTAAAATAAATTTTCTTTTCTTTTTTTTACATGACAGAGTGATAAGATGGTCAATTCGGGTTTCGATTCGGTTTGGTTATATTCGGTTCGGTTATTTCGGCTATAGAAAAACTATAACCATTCGGTTTTTATATAAATTCCGGTTCGGTTTGGTTCGATTATTTTTCGGTTCGGGTTCGGCTCGGTTTTGGTAAAAAATTCAATTTTCCAAAGAAATTGTCGGTTATTCTCTCGGTTTTTTCGGTTATTTTTTATTCGTTCGGTTCGATTTCGGTTTCGATTTTTCGGATTTAAAGAAATCATAACCGTTCGGTTTTGATGTCGGATTCGGTTCGGATACAGTTATGTCTTATTCGGTTCGGTTCAGTTCGGTTATTTGGTTAATAACCGAAATGGTCACCCCTAAGTGATACCTAACATAATTTTTTAAAAACCTACCATTATAAGTTTTTTTTTTTTGCAGTTATTTCATTTTATTTTTGAAAATTTTAGACGATAGTGAATAATAATTCGCACAAATAAAATTTTAAAAAGTTTATATTACAAAGCAATGTTTTTGCTGCTTTGATGGAAACGACATCAACAAAAACTTTCTATAGTTAATATCACTAGGTAGAATATTCATAATGCAAAAAAAAAACTTATAAAATCTTAAAAGAGATGTGTAATATATTCAACCATTTGTATTGTAATGCAAGAAAAGAAAGTTGTAGATAATAATTTTGGTCTATGTTTGGGGTACGTTTTACATGTGTCGGGCCATAAATACAGTATAAAAAAATTAAAATTGGGGGCGCATTTAATTTTTATTATAGAGCAAATTTAATTTTGTTATAGGACATTTAGTAATTTAATCTAAAATTTTATAAACATTACAAAGAAAATAAGGTTTTTTTAATTAAACAAATGGGTCTGTGACCCCATTCATATATATATGTGAGTCCGGCCATGTACATACATACATACATACATACATACATACATACATACATACATACATACATACATACATACATACATGTATGCATAGTGCATACACATCAATTTATAGTTTCCGCTTTCTGCACATCCCCATTCATCAGACCGTTGGTCCAATCACGAACTGTGGGACCCACTTCGAAACCAATCACCAATCCCAACTTTTGTTGAGACCGTTGGATTCCACTCTACAGTGCCGACTCTCGGCGGCGGCGCGTGAGATTCAGGTAAGGCCTCCGCCGCTATCCTCCTCCGTCTCCTACTGGCTCGTGAGTCGACCATTCGGAGATCGCCCACTTCACGTGGACCGAAAGCGAAACCATGGCCTCCGCCGCCGTCGCCGCCGCCGCCGAATCAGAAAAGGCTCTGACTTTTCTGCTGACAAACGTGACCAGCTCGAAAGTCAACGCCTTTCTTTTTTCGTTTTAGTTTGTTCACAGGACAGTGGACTGAATGTCGGTGTTCACGATCAGATGTGTTCCTGTAGTTGCTGAGAGATAAGCTCGAACAGTTGAGATTCTTTACAAGGTTCATGATTCAGATCGTCTAACTAAGAATTTCTGTGGCAAGATCTCATCTCCTACCGTTCTTTAATAGATGGCAAAGAACAAAATGAATAATGCCTTCTCATTTTGGATCAGAACTGATCCCTGGAATCTGAAATTGCATCTGAAGCCGAGGTGGTAATAAACTCTCAGCAGAATCTACACCAGATTTCTCAGTGTCCTCCGAGTTTTATCCTTGTTGCTTTACAGACAGCCTCTCTGATCATCAAACACCATTGAGGAAGAACAAAACAGCTGTTAAAGATCCTGCATCTTTCAGTCTGAAACATCATACGAAAGAGAGAAATCGAGCTGACATACTTATTAGCTCGTAGGTGACGATCATCGTGGTTCCATAGAGAGACATGTTCAAGAACCGTGGTCCAAAGCCTCTGTGGAACCCCCACCATCCATCTTCCTCGATCAGCACTTTCGCTGTTTTCAGTACCGATGGTCTCCCCGCCCCATAATCATCCATTACCTTCAGAAACCACGACACGAGAGGGTACACCAACTGAATACGTTTTGTCCTCTGTGTCATACCGAGAATGGAAGACGCTCAATTTTTTTTTACCTGAAGACGAGTTTTGACAGTGTCTATAGGAGTGGTAACAACAGAGGAACAAGCACCAGCAACCATTCCCGCTGTTGCCTGAACGCTCACCATCTCAAGATTCGATGGCCTCTTGTCTGAATCTTCTCTGTACCCTAAGCTCCTACAGGAAAAAACAGAAATGAACCGAGACGAGAGATGATTAAGCGGGCACATGAGATTATTACAGCGAAAACTGGTAACAGATTTGATCAATCACCTCCAGATAACATGTTGAGCTGTTCCATAAGTTCCCCACCAGAGAGCAGATGCAGGAGATTGAGTCACAGATGTTAAGCCAAACCCTCTATACAAACCTCGGAACCCTTCTGTTCTTAAGACTTTGCTTATAGCGTCGAAGGGTCCATTGTAATGAGTTGTCCCTGGAAGCCCTTGTACCATCAATCTCTGGGAAATCTACGGAAAAAAAAACCATTACAGATAAACCATGATCCTAACTCTAAAACCCGACATTGAACTGAATGACAGCCAAAACCAACAGAAACTAAGATATATCAGCATCTGGCAATAGAGAGAATCATCCGTTTCATTCTCTTTCCGACCCAAACGATTCAAGTTTCACAATCCACCAAACCAGTTTCACGTTTGGAAGTACGGGTAAAAACCTACCACATCGAGAGGCACAAAGTATACGCAAGAAATCAAGTTGGATAACATGCCACCGACTCCATTTGCGATGCCAATGCGCGATGCTTCAGGCATGTCTATGTGTTCAGTATATCCCAGCATCATATCTTTGGACATTTCGAGGGACGTCAAGGCCAAGACACGACCAGGCAGAGCACCAACGGCCGAAGTGCCAAACCCTCTGAAAATACCCGGAATCCCATCGTTCCGAAGAATGGATCTGAAGACGGAAATTGCACGCAGACGAGAGAATTCAGGATCAGACACTTGCATTCTTGTCTTTACCACTGTTGTTGGGTGTAACAAAGCTTGCTGAGCAGTGAATAGAATGGCTCCGATAACGTGAAACCTCGTCTTGTCGAGCCTGATGCCAGGATATACAATCCATAGAAGTATTAGCAACAGATGAAACCGTGTCCAGAGATTAGGGTTTGGTGTAAAGGATCTTTTTCTTTTCTCTTGTAGATTTCTGAAGATTGGTCGTGAATTAATAAGAGAATGATCCCATACGCAGAAACACAAGAACACGACAGATATCGCAACTCTTGGCTTTCGCATTTGAAACATCAAGAAATTTCTAGAGATTGTATAGTTCAGACACCATGAAGCAAGATCCGACATCCGAGGACGGGAAGCAAACAAAGAATTGGGAACTGAAGAATCATACAACCCATAAGCTAAACTTTCCGATACAATACCACCAACTGATCAAAACAAAACCCAACATTGCACTTCAAACGTCACAGAGAGAGAGAGAGAACCTGGCCCAGTTGATGTCGGTGTCGGCGAGAGCAAGCTCAGGAGCAGCGGCTACCTCTGTCTCACCGGCCATGGACGTCGATCGGAGCACCGTCGCACCGATTGATTATCCGGCGAAGAATGGCACGATCAAGTGCTCCACCATTGCCCGAACCAATTCAAATAAGGAGACATCATAAGCACAAGCACTGAGAAACCAACAGAAAGTTCCAGACTTTTTGGGGGGTTTCGCGCGAAGAGACGTTCTTTTTTTCACAGAACCCTGTCTTAGGCAGAGGATATAAAGTATCAGGCCGAAACAGTTTGCTCTCCTTGAACTGTAAACTACTTATTACCAATTTACCATTACACTTCGATTGAATTTTCGATCAATAATATATTTTTAAAAAAAAGCAATATAATCTAGAAATCAATAGCAATAGTAATATGATTAACTTAAAAGTCGAAAGAGCTGTTCTCTTTTTCAATGTAATGTCTGCTTCGGACACAAGAAAAAAGACGACTGGAAAGGAACAGGTTGCGAATCAATCAGAGGAGATACAAGTCTCCATCTGAACGGAGAAAATGAAAGCAAAACACGGTATGAATGTACATGAAAACCCTAATAACTTCATTGCCTGTCATGGCAAAGGCTCTTGAGAATCTCCAAGGCGAGACAAATGGAGATACGCATCAGTCCCTGCAGCATTTACCAACATTCTCACTTCCCATAAAACCGAAAAATACCCACATCTGGATCTAGATAACGAGCTAACAAAAGGAAAACCCGGATCAAGATTCGATTAAACATCATCCCTAGATCTTAAAAACTGGGTTTTGAGCAACCAGAACAGTTCAAGTTTCAACCACATTGCTAGTAGTAGAAACAGTGTGGGCGAAACGGATTCACTTACCGTATCCTTCCATGGAAATGATCTGTAAAACCCCTCCAAAATACCGAGCATACAAGCGGCTTATCGGAAGACCGTATCCATATCCAGCCATTGTCACCGGGACATCGGCCGTGCCAAGATCGATATTCTCGTCCAGGGGATTTCTTGCAGTGCTGTAAAGGTATGTGAAGATTTTGGGCAGACCGCTTCTTGGTATGCCTCCACCTTCATCAGATACCTGTTTTATTCATTACCTAAAGTGTTAAAGAAGCCGAAAAAAGGGAAAGCATAGAGCGGGTGATCTCAGAGGAATCAACCTTTATTGTGACATCCTCAATTCCATCGGCGACTATTATGCGGATAGGTGGAGCAACTTTTTCGGAGTCCATGAACTGTTCTTGGACAGCACGTAGCGAGTTCTTGACAAGCTCGTATACCATGAGATGCAAATGGGTTGGAACATAACTATAACCAAGTACAGAATCAGACCGTTTGTTAGAAAGAATCCGATTCAAGCAAAGGAAAGGTGATAACTTGGACTCACGGAAATGTGAAGGTTGGATCTCCATAAATGCTTATTTCGGGTGCACTTCCGTACTCTCTGAAACAAATTGCTCGGGCGTCTTCACTAGCATTCCTCGCTACTTCCACAGGAGACATTTTAGTGTGTATGTAACCGATGGTGCGAGGGGGCGGGTTTGGATTATGCAACTCGACATGCTGCCCTGAGTTTTCACCATGAAATTTACAAACGTTAAAAACCATAGTGATAAAACCTTCCAACCGGGAAAGAGGGATCGTAAAACGAATCTCACCGATAAGCATCCGAATCCCTATTCTCGAGAGGTAAAACCGATCAAGAAACTGATGAATCTCGTCCAGATCCTCGTATACAATCTTTCGGCCCAATCCTTTCTTAAGCTGATTGATACCTAAAGCCATCATGGGAACCACATTGTTGTGCCTCACCTTGATGGCCTTTATCATTTGGGTGAATTCCTTCTCGTCGGCTGTATCTTTGACCTCCGGAAACGCTCTCATGTCCCTGAACGACTCTACATACCAATCCCGGACCTAGAACCCGAAGAACTATCACAAAACGGGAGGAAAAAGATCCAAACAGACGTTGTACAAGAACGGATTAACTTGAGAAACAGATCAATTCTATTCCGAAATAGTTTCTTTCTTCAGAACAAATTTGCCAAATCTGGTATCTGAATTCCAAAGATGGCAAAGAGGTGTGAAGTGACCCAAGCATTTCCTTTTCTCCGCATCACACAAGCTTGTAAAGCTCTTGAACAGTTCTCAGAATTTAATATTAACGAAAAGACTATTCAGAATCTAATATTAACAATACCCATGTAAGCAAAAAGATGAAAAAACACCAAAAAAATGTCAGAAGAATTCCGCAGAACCCAATTTCCAGAAACCGAAACCGAATCGGAATTGCCGCATAATCCCAAGAGAATCAAAACCAAGGATTAGAATCCCGAAAAGTACCTTCAGAATGGCGGGTTTCTCGGACAAACCATAGGGAAGGCTCTCGAGCTCGATCGCTCTCCTCGCGATCCGAATCGGGAGCTCCTTGTGGAGAAACTGAGCCGAAATCAAAAGGTTTCTCTCGGTGGGTCTCGAACCGAACTCCATCATGTACCTCAGGCTCACGCCCGTCTGCTTCATGCAACCCCATCTGTGCACATCCTCCATCAATCTCTTGGGAAAAGCCTCGCATGCCTTCTTCGCCGCCATGCCGGAACCCTAACGCCGCCGTATCCGTCGTCTCCACAGCCGTCGCCTATCACCGCCGTGTCGGAGATGCAGAGAGAGAAGGGCATGCATAGAGGATGGGATTCGCCATCTGAAGAAAAAATATAACAGACAAAAGGAAAAAAAGAAATGTTATTGCTTTGCCCGCTAATGAGCGATTATGAGCGTGATTACAAATGGGCTAATTATGTTATAACCGATGGTTTTAAATTTTAATAAAGTGAAAAAAAAATATCATGAAATAAATTTAATATAATTTAAATATATATATATATATAAAATTACTTTTTTGTCAGATTAGAACATGGTTTTGCTAATCGGTATCCTCATCGTTTTGTCGAAAAGATGATTATCTAAATCCATTCAACAAATTAATAGTTGATGTACACTAAAGAATTCTTGAAAAATTTTATGTTTTATTTCATAAAACAAATCAAAGGAAACAATATGACAATTCGTTTGTTTTATATAACTTTTTTTAGTTTGGAATTTTTGGATATGTTTTACCCATAAATATTATAAATTCATTTCTGAATTATATAAACACATATAATAGAAAAATTAGTGTAATAAGAACGCGGCGCATTTGGGATAATTATCATTGCCTATTCGGAAAGAAAAAGCTGGATAACACTTATTTCGGCGACGACTAACTTAAGATTAAGACTCTAATTAATTAACCACTTGAATTATAATATACACATCGTGCAATACAATGTATATAAGTGTGTATATATATATGTATATCGCGTTTTACATTTCATTAAAAGTCCCAAGATTTTTATGTTGTCATGGAATCACTTTATTTGTCACTCTAGAAAAAAAATCTATTTTATAACGTATATGTATATTATACACACACGGGCATTTTTCCCCCTTAAATTGTTACTAGATATATATACAACATAAATAGGTAATCAAGATGTAAAGATATCTTTAATCATACGATAATGTGGATAGATTTCATATCATAAGATCCCAAGATTATTCAACATATAATACAAAAAAAATTATGAAATTTATATTATAGCAATGGATAAAAACTTAATGCATTTCTCAATAAGGTAACTTATTAGATCTAAGACAAGCAGCGGTCGAGGTTGTCATAAAACTAAAACAGAACACAAGACCAACCACCATATCTCACATTACATTAAACTCGAAAAAAAAGGAACCTAAATAAAAAGTGGGACCCATATGGCTTCTCACGACGATTATATCTCATCCACATGGCTAATATATAGTGGAAGAGATCGTAGCAATAGATATATATTAATTAAAGCCACTTCTCCGGCCGGCGGATTATGCGGCGGAGGGAGCGAGGCAGCCGCCGTCTGACTCAGTGGGGGCCAAGGCGGCGATGAGAGGATTGAGCTTTGACTCGGTCTCCGACACGGCGATCTCGTCGACACAGTTCTTGTAGTCCAACGAGGTGTCTTCGTATATTTCCCACCATTTCTTCACCAACATCTTTATGTCGTCACGGTCCATGTGGTCTTCTTCTCCCGTGTATCTCCATGGTTTCGAACCCTTATAATTATGAAAATGGTTATTATTATTTACAAATATATAGAAACAAAAAAAAAATGTTTATATACGGATGATCTTACTGCAGCACAGTAGTGGACGACTTTGACTTGGTCAAGGTCAACGCGCTCGGGGTGGCGCCAAAGCATGGCGAGTACGAGGTTGTAAGTCAACGGTATCGGCTCGTAAATGTCTTTGAAGTACATGTTCAGAAAATCCTACAAAAAACCATAGCTTAAAAATAGTCAACATCACATTTTCGTATACGGGGTATAATAAATTAATATTATTATACAGCTTATTATATATCGTAAAAACCATAATAAAACAAATAAATGTGACCTGTTCTGCGAAAGATGTGGGAGTGGTGACGGCGAGAGTACGGAGGAGGTCATTGTAGACGACGAGGTTGGGCTCGAAGACGAGCATGCCGGCGTTGAAGTAGCGAGGCGGCGGAGGGCCGAGGAGGTCAGCCGGCCACGTCACCTTTTCCGGCGACTGTTGGCAGAATCCGATCTGGTATTGTGGAGTATGCGACCACGTCTTCTCGCAGAAGCAGTCCATCACGGCGTACAAGTTTCCCGAGGGATTGTCGAAGAGGTGGTCGATGTTGTCGAACACTTGTATGTCTCCGTCGAGGTATATCATCTTCTCGTACTCCACGAACTGTGCATCATAATTAATTTATTAATTGCTTATTAATTTAATTAATTAATCACAACTTTCAGATTTTGTTTGTTAGTTTGCTATATGGGATATTATAGACCATGAGTACATTTGTATCTAACCAAGGATATGATTTGATGGTGTGTGTGTGTATATATATATGTGTGTATAAATGAAGGTGTATCAATAAAAATATTTGTGATAATATTACAAGCATGCCTAAAATTTATTTGGAATAATCTTTAATTACATGCGTACTATACGTGTCCGGAACAATCAATACAAAGAACGTAAACGTGTAAAAAAAACATGCGAAATCACACGTGAAAATTTCCACATTCATGAATATAATAATATACTATCATACTCCTATATAAAATAACCCACAAATCTATCGATTTATACACATTGCATAATATGTAACATGCGATATGTACGAAAAATGTAATTATAAATATGTGAATATAAATATGTTAATACAATTACGTGGACAAAAGCAATAGAATATGTGTATATATATAGGTACCTCCCAAATTCGGAGCTTGGAGTAGTTGATGACGTAATAAGCCATGGCGAACTGGGTCTGGTTTTCCGGCGGGTAAACCGGCTGTATCTCACGGATGATGCATCCCTGAGCCACCAGGATTCGGCGGTGCTCCTCCGGCACGTCCGGCAGCACCGCCACGACGAGGGGGTACGCCGACTTCGCCTTCCTCAGCCCCTTCGCCAGCCCCACCACTCCCATCCAGTAGTCCTTGTCTCCCGCCAAAAACGTCACGTAAGCCCTTTCTCCGGTCGTCGGAATCCTCTCTCCGGTCATCTCTGTCGGCGACATCTTCACGATCAAACAAAAAAAAGAAGTTTGCGTTTTTTTAAAGGTTGATGTGTGTTGTGTGGTGCAATGAAGAAGATGGCGTATAGTCTCAATAATATATAAAGGGAGAGTCGAGGAGTTATATATGGCAAGGGAATTAAATTTTGGGGTTAATTAGTAAAATATTATGCGCATATCGTGCTTATTTTCCTTAAATATTTTCATAATTAATGCTTTAGATTTATTTTATCGAGCGTTTAATAAATCAAGACAGTATCAAAGGGGGTTATGAATCATGATGGACCGTATATGTGGCAATGTGAATATTTTTCATATATAAGAATATATATGTGCCGAGATAGAGTAAAATGAATATACGTCCAATTTAAAAGTTTTGTCGACGAGAAAAATAAATATATTAATATATTATTGGTGCAAGACACGTGGCGAGAATATACTATCCCTTATTTTTCCACGTGGCAGTATTAAATGGCTGGTTAGAACATTTTCACCGTCTGATATATTTGGGAGGAAAATTCCTAGGAGAAAAAAATGATTATGCAAACGTATTATAAATTGTAACGTAATATTTGTAACCCAATTTGATAATTTTTACAAAAAAATATATAGTTACATGTTAAAATCACCGGATTTAGTCATTCATCGGAAAAAATGGAAACTCTTTGCGTGAGATATCACATTTTTATTGTGTATCAACTACTAAAATAAGAGATATTATGTGAAAAAAAAAACAATTTAAATGATATTTTATGTAATGATATATATATATATATATGTGTGTGTATAATATCTAGTAGATCATAAATAATTAGAGATATAGATTTTTTATTACCTTAATAATGATTTTGTTTTCATTTGGAAATAATGCTAGCACAGATATTTTTTTCCTAATGGAACGAGATTATACACATTCATGATCTAATTAGCGCATACTTATGCCGCGGGATATCAATAATTAAAGATATACAGTAATTGTAGAGATTACAATAAGGAAAATGTTGTTGCCATATTAATGACTAATAGTGTCTTTATTTGGAAACAATTCGAGAGAATCATCCGAGTGATTTGTAATCTCAAGATTTTTTGTGGCTAAATATATAAATAATTATATAATATAATTACCAAAAAAAAAATCAAACAATGGTGGGCCCACTGTGGATCATTAGAAGGCCCAAATTTACGTCGTGGAACATTAAAAGGCCCAGTACGATTCTGTGATGTGGCTTTCAATTGAATTATCCGACAGAGTAGAGTCATTACAACGAGACAGATACGGAGCTCGAAGTTATACAGTGATGATACATGATCATGTTCAAAGAAGGATGGAGAGGAATCTAAGAATCATCGTCGGCCGGAGGAACATCGGTGAGATTAACGCCTTCTTCCGGCAAGTCTGATCCCAATTGACCCAATATCCCTTCAGAACTCAGTGTCAATCCACTCTGCAACATTCATCATCCACCTCAAAATATCATTCCATCGATCCAAACATGGAAATTTTCCGGCAAAATATCATCCGAAAGGGAAAGGGTAGGAGGAAGGACTACCTCGGGTTGGAAGCGAAGCATGTCGGCTCGAGCCATTGCTTCTGCTTGCGCGATTCTCTGTCTGAATGTCTGAGCCATCTCCTCGGCCTGCAAGATTATAGCATAGACGCCCAGAAACAGTTATATATAGATGACCCTTTTGCCGGAAACCTCTGTTTATTGCCGAGTAAGAAGTATGGAAACTAAGTGATTAGTGTAAACCTTCTCGAAAACAAGCTTCGGGTTGCGGATCATATCACCGGGTGTTGGCTCAAGTTTCTTGGTGGAGAGACTCACTCTTCCTCTTTCCCGGTCATGGCTCAGTATCATAACCTGCGATATGAAAAAAAAGGTTCAAAGACCGTTGCTTTTTGCGATAGAATCCAAGATTATTATCTCTATTACCTTCAGAGTGTCGCCAGGCTGAAGAACCGTTGCGATATCCGAGACACGGTCGTGACTGATCTGACTGACGTGGAGGAGGCCATTGATTCCACCAATGTCGATAAATGCACCATAGGGTTTCAAGCTCTGAACCGTTCCAAGGACCACTGATCCGATTCCAAGCTGGGCCTGGCTGTCTGCTACAGCTTTACGGTTGCTGAGTACAAGCCTTGATTGTTCCTCGTCAACCTCCACAAACTTTAGCGGTAGCTCCTTTTCGAGAAGCTCTTCTGCTGTTGCTTTCTGACAAATCAAATAGGAAGTTGGTGTAGGAATCAACTGAGATGCTGGCTAACAAATTGGCATGCCTATTGAGTATTGATATGGAAAGTGTTGTCGAGACAACAAACCGATGATATTTGCGAGAATGGCACAAATCCACGCAGGCCCTCCACCAGAGCCACCACCCCACCCTTGTTGGCACCGACAACCTAAAATTACACAGAAGGGAAGTGGCGAAAAAAAGAGAGATCATGAAGGAAACGGACGAATGCACAATCACTGGTTTTGTTCATACGCACCTTACCCTTCACGACAACATCCTCGGCTTGAAGCTGCCTGCATCTTTCCCAGGCAAGCTCGTACTGAATCATCCTCAAGCTCAGTATCAAACTGTCATCGTTTTCGTTCTCACCAACGATGACAAACTCATCGGTCAAGCCAGGAACTATACCAGCTTCTTGCACATGTTTGATTCTGTGAATACATGCCTCTTGAACTGGCAAATAGGCTGAGGACTTTGCCGTAATGTCGACTAATGCGCCATTTCCGTCAGTCCTGAACACAGTTCCTTTCACCTGAAGAAAACAATAGCCACATTGCCACATACATCACACTAATCTCTAGTCCACTATCCATCGAATTCGATGAAACGGGTCACAAGTTCACAAAGAACCCAAGTGCTGAAAATCAAATTGGAAGCGAAAAATCGCAACTTGAATCATACCCTCTAGTTCAATCTCGGTATGAAGAACAAAAACCAGAATTGGGAACGACACGAACCTTGGTGCCGAGCTCGGAATTGAAGTCGTACTGCTCGATAGCGGAGGTGAAGTCATCGACGGTGAAGGCTACGCCTTCCATGGGAGCAGTACGGCAACGGTCGTAAGCTTCCTCGAACATCTTCTTGAGCTCGAGTCGCTCCTTCGTCTGGGCATTGGAAATCGCCGTCGCAGCCGCGACGACGGTCGAAGGTACGGCAGAGGATTTGTTCTGCGGGAAGTTTATGGCTACTCTCCTGGTAAACAGCGAAGAAGGCGAGAGCGGTGAGAACCTCAGGCCCGTGAATTGCTGAGCCAGAGACGCCATTTTTATCTCTCTGCTGAGGTTCTCTCTATCTGTTTCTTCAATTCTTCGAAAGTGTTTTTAGCGTTGGTGTTAGATAAGGGCGATAGGGGAGGGCGACGACGAGATCAGTTTCAGAAGATCGGACGGTTCAGATTTCACTTATAGAATTACCTCGTAACTACTTGCCGTTTCTTAGTCGTCCAAACTACAAGACGTTAGTTTCAATGCAGGGGAAAAGAAAAACGCTGCAAAAAAAGACCCCTAATATTTAGTATGGTTTGAGAAAATCCCGAAACTTTAAATTATACAAAAACAACCCCAGTATTAAAATTTATCCGAAAGAATAAACTATCGTTAAACCATTAGAAAGACAAACTATGAACATATTTCAAACAGTCAAAATTCCTGCATAAAAATGATACCTTTTTGAAAATATTATAAAAGTTGGTGAATAAAGAAAGAATTGGTATTATTTAGGATAGAATATAGTTTAGGGGCTTTACTAGAAAACATAAAAAAATTGGGACATCTTTAAAATAGGTTTTCTCAAAGGAAAACAACGTTTGTGTTGTGATGTTGAACAATCTCCACTAACTTATTTCTATTACAAGTTAACATGAACACCAAAAGAACAACAAGCCAACAAGAAGTGAAGATGTTCACAGTTGAAGTGAAAAAACCGGTTTTTAGCTCAGGTTCTTGCCACTCTTCTTGCCCTTCTTCTGCTTCTGCTTGAGCTGTGACAGACCGGCGGCTGTGATCTTCACGTTCCCGACCATAGCAGCCACCAGCTCGGGATCCGTACAAGCTTTCATCAGTTCCTTCTCCCTGGTCGTCGCCTCGGGCATGTGGCTGAACAGATTTATTGCTGTCTTTGCGGCTGTCCAAATCCAGCAAGAGATGAAAGTGTAAAGATCACTCTTACGATCTTCTCGAGGTCTAACGTTTGAGAAAAAGCGGCACTTACCTTTCCCTTTCTTGGCGGTTCCCGGGATTAACTTGACTTTGTATTTGTACGATTGAAGGGCGTTGTAAGGGCCGCAGACGGGGACAGCGTACAGAAGAATGTCGGTGGGTAATGGGTTTCCCGTTAGGTAATCAACGTCGATCAGTTTTCCTTTCTCTTCTTCACCGACCTCGTGAATGTCCTCTTCTTCCATTGCCACTTTGTCCAGCTCTGCAGAGTCTTCCCGATTTTCTCGACAATCTTTGGCAAGATGACCTGCTTTCTTACACTTATAACATAACTTAGGAGCACCTTCGGTATCTGCAAAGACAACAGAGAACTGCCTGAACACAAGATGCTCATAAAAATGGAACTCGGGTTGAAAAAAAAAGTCTTGGAAAAGGATTTACCGGCAGAAGGTTTCTTGTCATTTGCGACAGCCGCATTTCCATTCTGTGATTCCTCGATATTCTTCTGGGCTTTCCCAGAGGACTTACATAGAGCAGAGAACAAAAGTTTCGGGTGATTAGAACAGAGTAAAGGTTATGGCCTGCCAGAGAACAGAACGTGCTAAGTACTTACCGCCAATAGTGCTAGCCGTATCCGTTTTTCTTCTTCGTCTTGATCAGCGTACTTCTCCTTGATTTTCTTGAGTTTGCCTTTTTGCCCACGACTAACTTTCCCGATGCTTGGCTTATTACCGGGCACGTTCTTACCGACTTGGCTGGCCTTTTCCTTCTCCTTTTCCTTCTGCTTTCCTTGCTCGGGGCTACCATCTGTGGCTGTGTTACTGCTTTGGCCCTTCTTAAGCTTTCTTCTCTCGGCTTTCGATATATAGGGCTTGTCTCTCACTCCTGTTTTCTTCTCTCCATGCCCCTCATCCTCATCATCCTTTGATGTATCCATTGAATGGTTCTTACTTGTCACTGCTGCAGCCCCGAGCCCAAGCGTTCTATCAAGAAGATCCTCAAGCTGAGAGGTAGCTGAAGCTACATCGTCTCCACCAATTTCGGATGAAGAATTCATGCCATCTGCAGAATCCAAGATTCGGGTCACTTCTGCTTTCGGTTCCTGTGAATCAACTTCTTTTGTTGTGGCAACCTCTTCAACCGCAACTTCATTCTCCGACTCAGTATCTGAATGCTCCAGCTCGGGAGGATGGCTTTCCCCTGTATCATTCGCTCCTTCCTCTTCACCTCTTACCCTTCTCTCGTTTAAATGCGCTCCCAACGAGCTCTCGTCAAGACGAAACAACATTCCGAAACCCATTATGAGAGGGTGAGGCGGAAGGAAGTTCTTCTTGCCACGTATCATGAAGCTTCCAACCGTAAGATATTCTCCAGTTGGAGCTGTTTTACTGACCTGATGAGGATACACCCACCACGCACTTGTAACGATCTTTGAATCCCATGCCTGACTATAACAAACCTGCACCGAAAAGTCGAATTGAAATATTTGCCATCTTAACATTTTAAAAACGATTACAGAGTAAAACACTTACAGTAAAGCATCCGGCTTGGTTTAAAGTGAGAGGTGGTACAGGTTGTTCCGGCTTATGATTCTTTATCACGGTACTCGAAGCTCCATGAAGATCTGCATGAACATACCTGTTTCATAAATCCGAAAACGTGACAAAAGTTTTACACAAATATCCGATTACTTAACACGAAACCACGTAAGGTGAGACCACTACTACTACTCACAGGTCTCCTTTCGACATGTAGCGTTTCACTATCATCTCATTTTGCTGGGCATCGCGGCCACTGATGACAAGGTAGTTCTCGCTGCTAATGAACCAATTGAACTTCTCAAACCAGTGGACCTTCCTCATGTGTGAAATGGTTGCAACAGTTTTCTCCTTTTTTTTTTTACCCGAAAAAACGTAAATAGTCAGGTGACTGCTATTTGAAAAAACAAATATAACAAAAGATGCGGAGTTTGAAGAATTTCCCACCTGAGAAAGCTGGTGAAGTGTCTTTCTTTCGGCTGCTTTGAAAGCTTTTTCATGAGCAGAGACAGTCTTCTCCTGTTTGCTCTCTTGTTTCTTCTTCATTTCATACCACCGCCTAGCATTGGCATGCGCCGAGAGTGACAAATCAACTTCTACCTACGAACATATCAGGACATGACTGTATATAAACCACCCGGAAATTCGAGAAACAAGCGTAAGACCATGATCTATATGACTTGATGTGAAAAATTATATACAGAAACCAATACCTTTTCCACTGGGAGAGTAATCTCATCATCATCCATTTCATCAAGATTGTTGCAGAGTAACAAGGTCATGCAATTCCTCTCGAGATAAAGCTTGTCGATAAGCCCAGCCACGGGATTTCCAGATTTTCGTTCCTCCTTAACCATGCGAGCAAGATCATCCCAGCTCATACCTTTTGCAAGAGCTACACGAACAGCTAATATAGCAGCATCTACATCTTCTAAGTTATACTCGATTAATTCAGCCATTTTTACAGAATGGTCCACTTCTTTCTTCAGCATTTGGACTCGATTTTCCTACAATATGGACAAAGAAACAGCATTACAAAGAGAATTCAAGTAAAGATGGTTGTAGATCATAACATGGGCATTTAGCTTATTAAAGAAATGTCAGTAGACCTGATCCTGACGTATCTTATTGAGTTTCTGAATCGCAGAATCTTCTTTTGCCTTCTGTTGGTGTTCTACCCTTTGGCTCTCGATTTTGCTGTAGAATTCGTCTAAAGCCGCATCAAAAGTTTCGAACTTGTCGTATTCTCTTGATTTGAATTGGTTTAATAAGATTGGACAGAATTCATCATACATCTGCAGACAACCAGACAAAAAGTACATGTAATATTTGATCTTCATCGCCATTTAAAAGATATACACTATAGAGCTAAACACTAACCTTTCTAACACCTCCTGATTCAGAAGGGAGGTCTTTCTTCTCCAAACTTTGTTTCTGCATTAGAATATAACCTTCAGGAATCTTTTGACCGTGCATAATATCCTCGAGCCAATCCTCAAATCTAGCGACAGCTTGTGCCAACGACTGAATCTTATCATCATCTAGCTTGTTGTCTTCTGAAACCTTCTTACTTGGAACAAGACCAGCATCCAGAATTATGTGCTCAGAAAGCTGAGGGCCATAACCCAGTGCCTCGCCTAGAATATTCTTCAAAGTAAGTTGTTTGGCACGAGCAGCATCATTTGTTTTCCCACCCTTTTGCTTCCCATTCTGCTCCTTCAGTTCATTACTTTCAGCTTCATGATCCTTCGGAGAGAAAGTTGTAAGGGCTTCCCCCAGCTTAGAAAACGATGTTCTCTCAAAGGCTCTGCAGATCTCAATCGGGTAACGGTGGCGGGACATGATAGCAAAACCCTTGTTGTCATCTCTGCAAGGATGAAAAAACCAGTCATTCAAGAACGAAGGCCACAGGTTCAAGGACAGGAAAGAATGACTATCTCGAAAAATTTGCCAACGGAAACAAAAAAACAGTTTTCACAGACGCCCAAAAACTAACCTGTGTGATCGAAGGAGTGTCATGACGGTAAACTCAGAATCTGTAAGAATAATGTTTCCTTGAGCATACAACTCTAATATCACATAATGGGCATTAGAACCTATCCCAAACTGGAAGAGAATGATCTGAAACAAAACCATAAACCTCAGCAAAACAAAATTTAGCAATCATCAGAACAAGCTAAACAAGCCCAAGACATTTCATATCTTCATACCCTATCGTAACCGATCTGGCGTACATCCTCAAGCCTCCTGGTACGAATGTGCCTTCTCAACTTCAGAGTAAACCCAGATGGAGTATTGCTCTTGTCCCTTTAAAACCCGAAAAAAAAAACAGAATTAATGAGCTACCCTCCACTCCAAACACAGTCCTCTTCGCTTAACAGATTCTAGAAACCAGTAACTAGCAACACAAGTAACTTGTAACAAGAGAGAAACCTAACAAGTACAGCATAGTTACACACACTGACAGATTACTCCGACCAAACATAGAAGTTAACAATAGCAGATTACCGGACGTAAGCAGTGGTATGCAAACGGACACCACTTTCCATCAAGAGCAACACTTTTTCGCTCTCTCCAGATTCTGTCACTCCGCTGCTATTCATAAGCTTGAACATATAAGTCTGCGAGCACGAAAATCGATTCAAGACAATCAAAACTTCCGATAAGCACATGCCGTGACGAAATCAATCGATTAAATGATTCCCAAGGGGTGATTTAAAAAACCCATAATTTCTAACCTTCGGAGATATATCATAGACGTTGGAACATCTCATGCCGATCAAACGCTTCAAGCACTTCACCTCGGCGGCCACATCGGCCGTGTTCATACGCACCTTCACCATTTCTTCGCCTCTGTTATGTTAAAACCCACTTCAAGATTTCAAATCTGGAATGGAAATTCGCCGGAAACAGGACAAAGATCGCCGACGGCGACGGCGAGGATGCCCGACGAAGAAGCGCGGAGGGAGGAAAGAGAAAGGTCTGTTTTCTTCTTCTCTGCTACTAACAAGTAACAATTAACACGCTTTCTGAGATTCAAACATCGTGGCGTCCATTTAATACATGCAAGAACTCAGTGCCGTTTCTTGAAACACAGGTAAGAATGTATCTCACTTGTTCCGAGGCATGTACCCCTTTTAAAACTAGATTTCCGGCCCATGGGCCCAATAATTACGTTTCAGTTTAAGTATACAATGTATTGTTGGCCCAAATAAAATTTAAATTTAAAAACACGAAGGCTTTGAAATTAAGTTTTCAATCATTTTCCTTAATTAAGTGGTCAATTGCGTAAAAAATAAATCTTATTTGCAAAAAAAAAAATTTATACGGCTGCAAATGTTTTGAAAATAAATTATTATTTTTTTATTTTCTGTCTTTTTCATAAATCTTACTTGCAGGGATAATTTCACGGAAATGGTTCATTGAATCTAATGAAAAAAAGATTTTTGTCGTCATTATACGGAAGTTTTTTTTTCATTGATTTATTCGGCTATATATTATTTATTCGTCTACCAAAATTATTCACTCTAAATGAAGTATGAAATGGGAGGTCATCGAACTCTATTTTAATTAGTACTAAAATTATGAAAAGTTGACGAATTATTACGACACCGTGTTGACGTGGTCACGCACTTGACCATATATACATATGTTTAAGTTTTTTGTCTACACTCTGTATCGCATCCAAACATGTAATAACAACACTATGATCAATTAATGGATTAAATCATGTGTTAATTTCATACTTTAGATACTGTAGAAAAGTATTTACGATATTTTATTACATATATATATATATATGTGTGTGTGTGTGTGTGTGTTGGCATTTTATAATGTTTTTTTTTAATTTTATTAATCGGTTGTTTATATATTTAAATATACAACTACTCACTAAAATCGTTTTTATCTAAATTGTTTTTTTTTTTGGGATCGTAATTTCTAAAAAAAAATTGTTATGATGATAAAAAAACAATGTAAAATATTATGAAGACATAATTACGTGTAGATTCTCTTCTCACACGAACACAAAAATAGTTCAGTGAGAAGAGAATCTACGGAAGACAAAAAATCAAACAGACAGACAAATGCTCAAAAGCAATATTTTAAATGTGAAATCATTTTCACTAATAATAAAATTACTTTGCAAAACCAAAAATGTTTGTCTTTTAACAAACCAAATGTTTGCCAAGTGTACAATTGAGGAAAGAAAAAAAAAAGGTAATTAATTAGGACAAAGCACCCGTGTTCTCCACTTTGGAAAATTAGCTATTATTATTATTATTATTATTATTATTATTATTATTATTATTATTATTATTATTATTATTATTTTACTTTTGAATTTTCTTATCCCCTATAATCTATTGAATTTATTGATTAATTGTATATATACACGCATTTCTAAAGTCTTCTCTCTTTGTATTTATTAATAGTGGTGACTAGGTTTTGGAAGCTTCGAACCATATATTGAATTACAACGTTTTTAAAACACAAACATTTTATTTTTTATACAGTCTTACTAATAATAGAATTAGCAGTACTAATGACAAATAATTAATGATAGTTATTATTTTTATTTTTTATAATCTAAAAATTCATCAGGTTTTTTGCCCGATTACACATTGCATAGGATTGAAAATTCCATGTAAATATCTCTCTTCGAAATTGGATTGATTCATCCGGTTTATTATTATTATTATTATTATTATTGGTTCAGAGTAAATAATGATATTTGTCAAAATGGGTCGCGTACTTAGTCGACTTCATATCAATTATATGACAATGGAATTTTACCTCCTTGGACCGTACGCGTTTTTCAACACGTGTGTGAAAAAACTAGCACAATTGGTCATTCCATATCTTGTCATTTATCCCGATGAATCGTGATTCTATATCATACCAAATCCTCAAATCCTAAATTAAATACTGAACCTTCTTATTAAAAAAAAATTTACCAAATTTTCATATAAAAACCGGCTATTAAAATTTAGCATGTTCTATACCGCAGACAAATGTCGGTATGAAAATATTAAACTTTTAAAAAATCGGTTTAATATAAAAATTTGGTAGCAATTCGTATTATTTTTTTGTGAAATGAGGAGCTCAGTATTTGATTTAGAAATTTAGAATTAATTGAGTATTTTATATGATAATATCTCATAGTTAGACAATTTAAAAATAAAAAAAATGTCAAAATAATATCTTAAAAACATTAAAAACAAAATTTTAAATTACGACTAAAACAAATCCTTATTGAAAATAGAAATCCAAGTATAACGATAAAATAGAAATTTCAGGTTATTTAAAAAACTATGAAAATGAATTAAAATATATTATTACGCAATGGTTATAATTATTTTTAACTATGCTAACAAAATTCCCGTACAAACTCTTCGCCTTCCACTCTATTTGGTTCGAACCAAAAGCATATTACAACCATTTATTAAAAACATTAATTGCCAATAAATCAACAATTGAAGTTATAAATTCCAACTTAATTGTGGTAATTACCAATCCATAAATTTATTTTTTTGGAGACCAATACACACAACAAGTCATATATATATATATATATATATATATATATATATATGAACAATTATAAATGATAATATATATTATTTTTGAACAATTCTTGACGAAATGACAAGATATCATCATCAATGTCGTCACTTTCAGACGCATTTCCGAGCGTAATAATATATTAATATTTTCCAGATTAGTCTTATTATTATTTTTATGAATACATTTAATAATATGGATAGAAATCTGGTTCCTGTAAAGGTTTAAAGATAAAGAATGTTTCGGTAATAATATGCAAAAGTGGTCCCGAATACACATGCCCTAACATTACCCGTCACACGTTAGTGCAAATCCAAGATATGTGCATGTACTGTCCAATAATCACTTTTAAATAAAATTGTAAACGTGGATAGTCCATTGGTACGTCTGTATGTAATTTCGATTCTATCTTTTATATATTTTATAACAAATAGAGTGCGAGAATCGATTTGATACGTGAAGTATATATGGATCTGTATTTTAAAATGGAAATAATGTTTAATATATTTTATATGCAAAACATGGCACCACCAATGCTAAATCTAGTAGTATTTGAAAAAAAAAAGGTATTTAAAATATTATAGTATATAGTAATTTATGTTTTCGGAATTTGAACCCATATGGCCTTCTTTCACAATTCACAATGGTAAACTTCAAGTATCAAAATTCTCCTTTCAATATAAAACTAATTTAAAAATTTATATTCATTTCATTTTTTTTCAAATTAATTTAATTTATTTTGCGATAACTAAGTCTATCTATGCTCATCATTTTTATTTGAATATATATATATAACTCCTAGTAATCACCTATATGTTCTTTTGTTATTTTAATGAATAATTTAAGCCATTTGGTTGGTAAATATCATGAACACGATTTCAACCTCGTTGGAATTCGATTGTATTTAAACATTTCCTGCGTGGTAAAACACAATCCACACACACTCCTTTGTTACACGTAATAAAATAAAATAAATATAATAATAACTCTAACAAAAGTGTTGTTTTTATGTTCTTTTTTTTTTCAATTAGTCAAAAAGTTTTGTACCATTCTCCTCATCATTATCATCTAATATTGATAAACATCTTCATCGCCCAAGATCAACTAGTTTCAAACAAATAGAGATTTAATAATATAAATATGTAATACTAACTTGATTATTATTTATAAGCTTTTAGAATCTTTAAATTTCAATCATATGTAATAAAATTATACATATATACATACACGCAAAAACAAGGATATATCGATTCAAATCAAATATGTGTGTATAATTAAGTATTTGTGGCTGTGGTTGATTTTTATTAGCATTAATGTGGCGACTAATGAAGCCCACAAATATTCCGTGGCACATTGTTTTAGGGTTTCTCCATCTCTCTGTGGCCTAATCACATTAACTCAATTAAAGAATCTTCACAAATGCGCGCACACAAACTGTTTCTTTAATAATAATAAAAAAAATTCCTAATCAGACTATATATTAAATGGACCGACCAATCGAAATTAGAGTTCCACTCTTGGAAGTAAAAGATTGATAAAGAGGCCACGTGTCAGTTCTCCACGACTTGAAAATTTGTCTGTTTCATTTTTTTTTTCTCTAAATTGATCGATTTTATAAAATTATTACGGGTTATATGTATATGATCAAATCCATTTAAATAAAATATCAAGATAGCTTATATATATAATTTATAATTTGGAATCTTTCTAGGTTTTTCTTTGGAAAAAAAAGGAAACGTGTGGATAAAAGTCTACCTTTTTTGACTAAGTAAACTCTGATATTGTTAACCACTATATAATTACTGTTATAACAAAGAAAATCCTCCTAATGATTTTGGAAAAATGTTCGAAGAGAGTGTTGTCTTTTTGCTAGTGATCTCAGTTTTAAAGTGACTTTTTTTTCTTTATTTAATAGCTTTAATATTCTGTAAGAATAATTATTAATTATATAATGAAATTCTCGTATATAAAAGAATTGATTCCTTGGGAATAAAAATAGAGAAATTAGAAGCTTCGCATAAGGAGATGAGAATACATCACATCCGTAGAATCATGAATAATTATATACATTTTAATAGTTGATTGATATTAATTTCAAAATGAATTTTGTGAGAGAAAAAAGGTAAACGCTTAAGCACATGGATTTTTTTAACGTATTATAATGTCAAATAAATATTTAAAATAATTTATTTAAATGATCATATCTATTTTTTAAAAATTAGTTACTAAATTTCGGGATTTAACATGCACATTCGTTGAATTAATTTACAATGAATAATCCACAGATGAATATATAAATTAAAAAAAAATTCCACAATCTGTTAAAATCTAATATCCCTTTTGCTACAACGGATCTGATACTGTGAAACTATAATATATATATATATATATATATGGCTTTCCAGTTGATACTAATTATGTAATTGGTCGGCACGAATTAACACAGTTAGCATATGATTATGTTAATGGGACCTTTCAAGTCTTCTTCGACATGGGTTCACTTAATCACATCCTTAAACCCAATATGATTACGGTAATTGTCCACTAAATTAATTAATTTTGCAGCCAATGGGGGAGCATGTACACACTACAAATAACCAAAAAAATAAAATCAATGTGAATATATGAATACACTCAATTTGATTTATTAGTTTTGGGTTTAGCACGTTATGTCTTCTAATGATTATTTTTTCTTCTTTTAATTGTTAAATATAATTTAAAAAAAAAAAAGATAAGCGCACGATGAAATATTAAAAAAAAGGATAAAATTTATTAAATGGTTGTTGTTTCCTAAAACAAAGACATGTTTGGAACCAAAAACATACTATATGCATATGTATACACTCATATACGCGTTTCGTGTATGCGTGTATGGGGGTGCGTATACACGTGTTTTTCGTATGTACGTATATATATATAGTATATACGGTGGGAGTCATGACGTACGTATTCCGACATCACGTGATCCCGTGTCCGTGCCATCAAAATACTATCCATTATAAATTACACGACGAATGTATAATTGTCTACTATCAATATAATTACATGCAATTTATCGATCGGTTAATATTTTTTTTTTGTATACCGCTAAATGGTTATATATATACCGTTAATTATTTTTTGCAATGTGGAAACGGAAACCATATGCAGTCTAAAATTATATATAAAATATGGTAGTCTGCCGATTAATTCAAGTTTGTCGGCAATGCAACTATCTATATGAATATGTGTATCATAAAATACAAAAAATGTATAGAAATTTTCAATCTTATTTTGTCAACTAAACTTTTAGAGTTTGTTTTTATTATTTCAAGATGCACATACATATATATCTATATGTGCGTATATATGCAGAAAAAATACGTATTCTTCGTGGGTATACGCAAAGAGTGTTCCACCCAGGTTCGAACCCCACCCTTGGCAAATCACATATTATAAAAAAAAATACGTATTTTTGCGCCCAAGTCGTAAAAAATAATAGATAGATTGAAAATTTGATGAATTTAATTAGTTCGGCGCAAAGAATTTACATTTAATTTCACAAAAGAAAAAAAAAGATGTAACAGATATCTAATTAATGGTAACAGTCAATACAATTGCTTTGAGTTTGGGAAAGTTCATGGACCCCGTCCGTACGGTCGGGTTGATAATTAGAGAGCGGTCCAACCATCGTTAATTAACAATTTATGTGTATAGTATATACACTTTCATACGAAATCATTTGTATTAGGATTGTCCAACTTCTATTATTATCGATTGGCTAGGGTGTATTATTGACATATATAGTGATCAATATATATATATATATATACACATAATTGCAATATGGTTGATTAGAATCAATTGTACTAGCTAGTTTTAGCCACCAACATTTTACCGGTGGATATAATTTATATGATGAAACCATTAGAATATGTTCATGAAATGAAATATATATACCCTTTCGAATTGGCAACAAAATTATAGAATGAACTAATTAAATGTAACTTAATACCAAAAGTTTCTTTCCATTTAGGGATGCAACCCCACGGGATTTCCCTATGATAAAAACATTTATATTTATAAGATTTGCCGTTAACAAAAAAAATATATCGTCAGAAGGAAAAAAAATTTAAAATCTTAAAAGTTTTTATTTTTTAGTAGAATTTGAGCGTTGAAATTCAAATCCGAATATCATATCATTGCATGGTATTTCACTATATATATATATATATAATCATGTTCAAATCCGAATATAGACAACGCACATGAATATATAATAATCTTGATTATACTAATTAACAATGGATATACATTACAATTTGTTCGCAAATAAAAAAATAAAATAGTGATATTCGAAGAATTCAAATTTGAAACTTTTTCTCTACAATGAACTTTTGACTTGTATAGTATGGCCGGTTATATATATATATATATATGTGTGTGTGTGTGTGTATATAAGAAAGACAAAATACAGATTTATATTTATTACTTGCAACTTGTTTGAAATAAGGAGAAGACTGAAAAAAAAAACCAAGTGATGGTAGAAACTGAAAGGCCGCAGTAGCAGCACACACAGAGAAGGAAAGTCAAAGGGTCAACCTTCAAAGCTCTATTTGTGCTAATTAAGTGTTAACTCTCCATCCTTAATTAATTGATTAATCCCGAGATCTTTACCCGATTTTATAAATTATCAAGTGATTTTTCTTTAATTTTTGTATATAATTTTCAAAAAGAACTAATATACAATTTTAATTTTAAAAAAATCAATTTAGGAAGCTTATATGTATGTTTGATCCTCTGAAACTGTATATAAAGGTATTTTTAAAAATAACATACTAATTTAGGAAGCCGAAGCCTATAGCATTTTGCTTACCAAAAGAAACCACATACCTATTATTAATACGTAGACTCTTTTTATAATCTGGATATTTTGAAAAATAATTAATTATAGAAAGAGTGCACAGTTCCTATATTACGGCTATGCCATATTACCACATGTTCCAAAATATAAAATTATTTAAAATAAAGAAAAAAAAATTACATTTATGAAACCTATCATCTTTTTCCTTCTATAAAACCCAACTTCTCTGCCTTTTCCCCACAATCTCATCTTTTACATCTATACCCAAAAACTCCACACCCTCTCTCTCTCTCTCTCTCTCTCTCTCTCATCTCTCGGAACTCATACCCATACAAAGAAAAGCAGAAAGTTTCTGTCTTTCTCCTCAATCTCTTTGTGGGTCTCTTTTGTGGGGATCAATGGATGAGAAAGGACGAAGCTTGAAGAACAAGAACACGAATGATCATGGCACCGAAGACGAACTGGACCTCAGGAGAGGTCCGTGGACCGTCGAAGAAGATTTCAAGCTCATCAATTACATTACTACTCACGGAGAAGGCCGATGGAACTCCCTCGCTCGTTGCGCCGGTACGTAATACACCCACATATCAATACATACACACACACACACACATATTTGTGACGGAAAGAGCCAAAGCACAAGTTGCAAAAGAGAGTTTGATTGTTACCTTGGAATCAATCCTTGTCATGTTTCAATCTCCATGTGTAACTGTGTTTTTCAAGTTCCCACTTTTTTTTTTTTTTGTAAATTTGGTGGAAAAAAAAGGTTTTCAAAATTCATTCAAAAAAGCGTGAGAAATGGGTGTTTTTGCCGTATGTGCACAAATGAAAAGACCCTTCATGGACACAAACCCAAAAGTGCAACGCTTTCATGTTTTCTTTCTTCTCGTTCCCTCGATTTCCCAATTTTATCGGTTAAATTGATAAATTAATTAAATTTTGTATATACTATGTAATATATTACAAAAAATATATGAATATCCAAGTTTGAATTTTAAAAACCAATTGGATATTAAAAAATGGTGAAAATATTGCTAATTAATGATCGTCATCTACAAGGGAAGAGCACTAACTCGATGGAAGAAAGCTTGCAAGAGAAAGAACCTCTTTTAGATAAATTATCTCATCGTCGGTCCATATATTTTTTGGAAATCTGATAACTTTACCAATTATATGAACTCGTGAATGATCTTTTTTTTTTGGGCATATTAATTAAGCAGTTATATATACACTAAATATCTCCGATATTTTTTTCCGACGAAACAGGGCTCAAACGTACCGGAAAAAGTTGCAGATTGCGGTGGCTGAATTATCTCCGACCAGACGTCCGCCGTGGAAATATAACTCTCGAAGAACAACTCTTGATCCTCGAACTCCATTCCCGTTGGGGCAATAGGTATATACATACATATTTATTAATTTATTCAATTTCCGCACAACTATAGTTTAACTAAACCAATATCGATATCATAAATGTGTTTTTTAAAGAATTTTCTATAGTACCATTAACTATAGTTCTTCGGTTAATTATATGATTACAGATGGTCCAAAATTGCTCAATATTTACCGGGGAGGACCGACAACGAAATAAAAAATTACTGGAGAACTCGTGTCCAGAAGCACGCGAAACAGCTGAAATGCGACGTGAACAGCAAGCAGTTCAAAGACACGATGCGATATCTGTGGATGCCTCGCCTCGTCGAAAGGATCCAAGCCGCCGCCTCCGCCACCACGTCATCATGCGCCGCCGATCAATTCTTCGTGACGTCGACGACGATGAACGACGACAGCTGCATGGGAAACGACGTGGACATGCAGTTGATCTGTGGCGTTATGGGCCACAATAAGGCCGAGAACCCTAACGGTTACAACACGTCGGAAAATTCCAGCGTGGCGGTGTCTCCGGCGTCGGACTTGTCGGAGTTTTACAGTGCTCCGAACCCGAACTCGAACCCGGGTAACCCTAACCCGGAAATATGTTATCCGGGTGATGTCAGCATGGGGCAAATGGGGAATAATTGTTATCCGGACAATATGGTCGGTCCGGCGATATTCCCGGAGAATTATTACAATTATAATTGCAATAATGGGCTATTAGAGGAAGGATTTCAAGCGGCAGAGGAGCAGCAAAGTAACATTAATTGGATTGACAATGGAGGTTCGTCTTCGGACAGTCCGTGGAACATCGACGGTGATGAAGTCTTCTGGTTCTTACAACATCAGCATCTCCAAAATGGCAGCTTCTGATACGAAAATAGAAGAACAATTTCTTTTTTTTTTTAATAAAAAATTGAAATATTGAAGTGAAATAAACTAAGTGATATGCATATGTGTGAAAGGAATTTGCATGTAGAAAGCACAAAAAGAAAAAGCCTCTACTTGGAGAAGAGGGTTACGTAGAAAAAAAGTTACGATATAGACATGGTATATGTTTTTCTTTTTCTTTTTCCTTCTTTTTTTTTTAAAAAAAAAGTCTTATATATATGTTTACATTGGCACACATTCATGTCATAAAACGATTATTTTACGTTTATTTATTTAATTGATTTCGTGTTCTCTCGAAAATCTAGATGAACTAATAAAATAATTATTTCAATTTGTGTAAACGCATTTTGTCGTTACGTGTGCGTCTCGTGTTTGCGGGCTATGATTTAGTTCTTTAGTTGCATTTGTTTTCACACACTGTTTTAGTGATTTCCATTGTGGAAGCATGCTTTAGCTTGGAAAACTAATTTAATTAAATTATTTATTTTTTTGCCCAAGGAGCGCATAATTGGTTCCACCATGAAATATTATTATTTAACGCGTATATAAATTATTTTAAACATATATTATAATAACTTATAAATTATATAAAGTGGATAATCCAAGTCATGCTGCTTTATTAGGAACTGATGTCTATGGGACCTGTACATTGGAAAAAAAAAAGTGCCCAAAGTCTCTAGAAACGCTTTGTGATCGAAAATTGCCACGTGTCTTCAATTCATTGGGTATCTTTTGAGTTTAAGGTGGCCATTGGGGGTTTGTGTAATAATAATTGTCGTTGTGATATGTGTTTAGTGATCATTAAGCCACCACTAATGCGTGCAAATCCTTATTTTTGTAATGATCCTGATTTATTGTACGGACATCCACGTCATCGAAACAAAACGAGTAATTTGGATATATTTTTTTATAACCAGGATGGTTTTCCGAACCTTCGATCCGACTATATCCATCATAGGTCTGAAATCGTCTTTGTATATGAACCATTTTAGTCCAGAAATTATAATTTTCTCCACCAATAAAATTGAATTTAGGAACTTCAGAATGAATTTGTTACATTCCACCCACCTTCGATCCGACTATATCCATCATAGGTCTGAAATCGTCTTTGTATATGAACCATTTTAGTCCAGAAATTATAATTTTCTCCACCAATAAAATTGAATTTAGGAACTTCAGAATGAATTTGTTACATTCCATCCACCCACTGAACCATAAACTGCTGAATAGTAACTCGATATTTTGAAATCCCATCCAGAAATTATGTCTCGGATCTTACATAATCCGAAATCATACAATTTTTAAATAGTTTCGATATAACTTTATTTTTTGATAAATATAAAATATAATTTATAATTATGTCGGATATTTTTAGATATTAGATCATAAAACTACAAAATTTTGAATTTAAATATGAATCTGAATTGTTTGAATATTGGATTTACATCTCGAATATAACAAAATAAATTTTTTTAAATTTCTCAAAAAGATAAAAAGTATTTTATCATGTTTCTCTGTTACAAAATATATCATTATAATTTCTAACTAATTTATTAATTAACATCGTCAATATTTTACTCTAACACTAATTAACAAATCTATGAATTATAATAATATATTTTTATTAAAGAAACAAATTTTAAAATTAGTTTTTCATCATTTTATAAATTTATTTTTTTAATGGTTTTACATTAACGTTAAGTTGATGCCGACGTGGCAACATCGGCATTTACATAACATACCGTATACGAATCAAAAGCGGCCAAAGATCTCTGAGTTTTATTGTTTTCAACTTCCTGCTATTATTTATTGGTTTATTTTAACAAATATAATAATTCATTATTATCAATATTTTATTTGATATATGAATAAGTACATTGTAATTGATCCATAATTCCTATAAATTTCCCACCTTTTTTTCCACAAAAAAATAATTATGTATAATTTTCATTCCTTCCTTACCAGAATTGAATTCGGTCCGTCGTATTACGTTAGAAATTAGAATGAAACCTTTGCCACTCAACCTGAATAAAAATACAATCACATTTATTATTTGGTTCACCGAAATTAATTTTTTATTACTATTTTTATATATTCACAACAAATTATAATGCTACGATATTTGTGTAAATACCAACAGACCGATATAAAAATTCAATAAATCTCTGTTTTGATCTATATTTTCAATGAGAACTTCTTGCGCAATTCCCACTTGTTTGCATTTATGGACCGAATTATCTAAAGCCACAAATCTCTAATTGCTAGCCAAATAAGATATTAATAGCCACATGCCAAAATTTAGATTTAAATTTAAATTTAATATAACTTTATATCCGAATTCATCATAATGGATCGAGACCCAAACCCACAATTAAGCACATCAACCTATACCCGAATCGTAAAATTGATATGACATTTTGATTTTCCGTATGCCTTTCGTATGCTAATTTTATTCCCTTTTGGGTTTCGTTTTAAATTTAAGGTTTCCGTGGTACCTTTGGACATAAAAGGATGGTTATGTTTTGCTGTCCCATTGCAAGTTGATAGATAACTGCAATTTATATTTATATTTATATTTGTAGGCACTTGACCTCCACTAATTTTCAAATTTTTTTCCCTTTAAAATAAATTATTCAAGCAAAATTGTAACCACCTGTCATCTTATTACATTAATTAAAAATAATTAATATTTTCTTCTCGCAGTTCATATAATCCCATCTGTAAAGGGATCCGTATTTAAAAAAAAAAGAATATTTTACAGGGAAACAAACGATATATATATATATATATATATATATATGTATGTGTGTGTGTGTGTGTATATATATATTCAAGTATCGAATGAAAAAAGTAGTATACCATATTTCATAATATCTATTATATCTATCAATTCAATAGATAAACTATTTTTTTTTAATAATTAGATATGTTATATCGAATTGCAGGCTTCTCTTGAAATGCGTAGTGTGAATACCCTATGATAAAAGTAACTTAAATTGTATTGTAAGTTAGTTTAAATTGCACCAATTAGAACGTTAATATTACTTAAATTTGTAAATCTTAAATACGTCAATTTAGATAAAACATCTAAATAGTGACTTATTCCAACAACATATTAATGGGCCCATTATGAGGGAAGAGAAATTGGTTTGAAGCTTTCAAATGCATTGGGTCTAAATGGGCTCTATTAGGCCTTATTGGGTCTAAATGGGCTTTTATTAGGCCTTATTGGGTCTACATGTGCTCAGTTATGGGCTCTTATTTTAGCCTGTAAACATCTGAGTAGCGATTGCTTCTCACGCGCATAGAATCGTCGCGTAAGGAAGTCAGAAACTATGCGTGCTTTCGTGATAAAAACGCAGACGCTTCTACGGGTACAATACGCCAATACGACACTTGATTGCAAAAATATCTTGGTTAAAATATCTAAAATTCGATAAGAAAATAATAATATAACAAAATATAATTAAATCATTGCATTCGTCCATTTTTTTAAAATAAATTTGGGAGTATATATATATATTATATGAAATGCACCCTTGTTCTAATTCAATAAAATTAGATGGTGATCCATAATGCGTAATATTTTATTAAAGTGATTGTGAAAATGGATAAAAAAAATTTAATGTAATTTATTAAAAATAAAAAAGAACTCGATTTAGGGTGGCGTAAAAAGCAGGTTGTATTCAACAAAAAAAAAAGCAGGTTGTCTTTTTGTAATTTCGTGAAGGTTATGAGGGTAATCCCGTAAATAGAGATGCGGAGAAAGGCCAACGATACTGCCTTGACGTAATTCCGCACATTTTATTTAATCCTTTTATTTGGACCCACCACCGACCAATCTCATCCATAAGAAGATATAATAGGTATGAAAGGTCTATTCTACCCCTTATCCGGAATAGACATTAGGCAGATATAATACTTGTGAAAGGTCTATTTTCGTCATTTAATGAGTACTCCCATCGCAACTTGCACGTGCGTGGGTATTTATGTCATTTCAATACTTTTGAATTTTCATTCTTCGCCACGGTTCCACGAAGGTGCTGCTCTTTATAACACCTTCCCAAACTTCGAGCATTTTTCATCAGCGACCAAATTTACAGACAAAGAAATTACAAAAGAACCCTAGATTCCCTTCTCCGATCTTCTTCCTTCTCTGTAAGTATATAGATTCTGGGTACTTGTTTCCAGATTTCGTAGTTTATTCTAGCTTAAGTTCAGGTAAAACTCAGATTCTTAGCACGAATTCTTTCCGTTCTTTGATCAGAGATTCCGAAAATTCATCCAATCTGTATATAGATAGATATAGCTAAAGTGCGTATATAGATTCTTCTTCACTGGGTTTTAGACAGTGATCTGGATTCTTGAGTCGAGGATGAACACTAGGAGCTGTGTTTGCATCTGTACGATGAAACCCTGTTGTAGAATCTTGATTAATTACGGAAGTTCCTCGCTTTTCGGTATTCGTGCCCGGAATTCGAGCATATTCAATTCGTCGAAATTACATTGTACAAAGGTTGATTCCAGGGGTTGTAGATCTCGTATTCATTGTCGAGGTGGTCTCGCGCCACGGATTGTTCAGGATCGGAAGGCTTTTTGTGTGTCCGATCCTGGTTGGGGACGATCTAGGGTTTACAGGGATTTTAATAGTAGTAGGGGAAGGGGTGTTTTAGTAATTCCCCGTGTAGCTTCGGATTATAGGAACCACTCGACTTCGTTAGATCATCATGTAAATGATAAGAGCTTCGAGAGGATCTACATTCAAGGGGGATTGAATCTGGAGCCTCTGGTTTTCCGTAAACTTGGAAAACCTGATGAAATAGCGAAAGAGGAAGGGGAAGGTGATGTTGGAGCCGTCGATGTTAGCGATACGAAGCAGTTAGCAAGCCAGACCAAGTCAGAGAAGGAGGCTTGGGAGCTGCTTCGAAGTGCCGTGGTTAATTATTGTGGGTTTCCTGTGGGGACGGTTGCGGCAAATGATCCCGGGGACAAGCAGCCATTGAACTATGATCAGGTCTTTATACGGGATTTTGTGCCTTCTGCATTGGCGTTCTTGCTTGATGGAGAAGGGGAGATTGTGAGAAACTTTCTCCTGCATACATTGCAGTTGCAAGTACATTTTCTTACAACTTTTGTTTTTATTTGGAACATTCTTGAGTTCATTGGTTTTGTCCGATAAACACGGTTTTAGATGATGGGTCTGTATAATTGTTCTGTATATCAACTACGGCATGGCACAAGTTTTGACCTTTTCACCTAATAGAACAGTAATTTTTGCTGTTGTTGTTCTTGGGTGCTTTGTTTTGTTGGTTGGTCTTGGAACTCTGATTTTTATAGCATGCTCTCTAGTTTCAGGTTCTCAGAAAAGTGATTTTTGGTTTAATTCCTAAATTTCAAACGGTTTGATTCATCAAAGGAACTTGATTTCTGATTTTTGGTAATTTTTGGCGGATTCTGTGAAAATGGACGAATTGTTTAGTTTCTTATTTTAGCTTTGACTGCTTAATGGAGAGAGCGAGATTGTGAGGAATTTTATCCTCCATTCGTTGCAATTCCTGGTACGTTTTCTTGTGTTTAAATCTGCTGAATGATCTGAAGTTCCATTTGATGGCTTCTGTCCTGTTCTGTCGTGGGTTCTATATATGATTGATTGTTATGAATTACGTCTTCCATGATTTTTAAAGCTTCCAACCAGTGACACAATGATATTAGCCCTCACAAACTCTCTTGCTATGTGATTTCTGATCGTTAGAGAGGTGTTTTCTAGCTTAGTCCCGATAACCATGATCGGTTTTGATTCTTCAGAATGTACTTCCATATTCTTCAAAGGAGTTTGATTTCTTAGTTTATGGAGGGTTTTGTGGAAGATGACAAAGTTAGCTCGAGCTTAAAAGTTAAAGCCAAATATCCGTAGTTAAAATCACAACAGATCTGTGACTTATTTTCTTAATGGAGCTTTTTTCCTTCCTGCATTTTGGTTGCTAGAGCTGGGAGAAAACGGTTGACTGTCACAGCCCTGGACCGGGATTGATGCCCGCGAGTTTCAAAGTGAAATATGTGCCTCTTGAGGGAAGTGATGGCCTGTTTGAGGAGGTTTTAGATCCTGATTTTGGTGAATCGGCTATCGGGCGTGTCAGCCCTGTTGACTCTGGTATCCACTTTGCTCTTTCTTGTCTCAACTCAATACCGACCAAATTACATTCATGTTTTTGTCTCATGGTATGAAATCACTGTAAGAACTTAGCCGTCCAGCAGTTCAAGGTGGTAAATGTAGTTTTTCTGGAAATTAATATTCTTTTTGAATTTGGGAAAATCCGGTCTCTTTAGACAGATAAATTTTGGATACTTTCTGGAAGTGGAATCCTGATAATTTTAGCAGAGGAATTTACTTTCCGTGAGAATCTTTTCTTGTCTCATCAAAGGTTGTAATCTTGCTAGGCTTGTGGTGGATAATATTGCTGAGAGCTTATGGGAAGCTCACGGGTGATTATGCGTTGCAAGAGAGAGTCGATGTTCAGACAGGCATCCGATTGATCCTTAACCTCTGCCTATCTGATGGTTTCGACATGTTCCCAACTCTTTTGGTCACTGACGGTTCGTGCATGATTGATCGGAGAATGGGCATTCATGGTCACCCTCTTGAAATCCAAGTAAGTGAAAGATATTGTCCAAGGCCTTATCCTACTGTTCTTGCACCTAAAACGTCATGTTTCAGGCCTTATTCTACTCGGCCCTGCGTTGTGCTCGAGAGATGCTTAACGTAAATGATGGAACGAAGAGCTTAGTTGCTGCTATCAACAACCGGCTCAGTGCGTTATCGTTTCATATCAGAGAGTACTACTGGGTTGATATGAAGAAAATAAATGAGATTTATCGTTACAAAACAGAGGAATACTCGACAGATGCGATTAACAAGTTCAACATTTATCCCGATCAGATCCCATCTTGGCTCGTTGACTGGTTTCCGAATGAGGGGGGCTACTTCATTGGAAACCTTCAGCCAGCTCACATGGATTTCAGGTTCTTCATGCTTGGGAACCTTTGGGCTATTGTTTCTTCACTTGGCACCCGGCAACAGAACGAGGGCATTATGAACCTGATCGAGGAGAAATGGGATGATCTTGTGGCGAACATGCCTCTCAAGATCTGTTTCCCGGCGCTCGAGCAGGATGAGTGGCGAATAATCACTGGCTGTGATCCGAAGAACACGTGAGTCTCACTTGGAATCTCCCCTAGTTTCTTATTATTCCGGCTTTGTCGAATGGTGATCGGCTCTTTGAGCCAGAGGTTATCCCGGATTCTGCGCTTTTCTGCAAATCAATATCGCATTTCGCTGCTTGGGGGATGGAATTGTTATGAAAATGGTCGAATCCTTTTGATCTTGCAGGTTTTTCTCCGTATGCGAGGCCCGAATCATATCATACTGATGTCGAAGTTATTGTCATTTTGCAGGCCTTGGTCATACCACAATGGCGGATCTTGGCCTACTCTTCTTTGGCAGGTAAATAACAAACAAACATTTCATGTTTCAGGAATCTTTTAGCATATCATATGCTTATATAAGCAACCGTTTCTTCTATAACCATTGAGGTATCCAAATTTCCAGTTCACATTGGCTTGCATCAAGATGGGGAAGCCCGAACTGGCACGGAGAGCGGTTGCCAAGGCCGAGGCAAGGCTAGCTTCCGACCGTTGGCCTGAGTACTACGACACGAGAAGCGGAAATTCGTGGGGAAGCAGTCGAGGCTTCACCAGACGTGGACGATAGCGGGTTTCTTGGCGTCGAAGAAGCTTCTGGAACAACCCGAGAAAGCCGCGCTCTTGTTCTGGGAAGAGGACTATCAGCTTCTGGAGACCTGTGTCTGCGGTTTAGGCAGAACCGGTCGTAAGAAGTGTTCGAGATTCAGACCGCCGGGTCGATCTTGAAACTAGTTCCGAGCTTGTCGGATTGTCTTAACATGTTTAGAACATTCTCTTACAGTTCCTCAAATTCTCTGTTGAAAAACCAATCTCATAAACAATGTAGTGTCACTGAAAGAGTAACGTCACTCTGTTGGTTACTCTTGGCCATTATTGTTCTTGCTCATCGTCTTCACCTGATTTTATATAATATATATATATATATAGTTGTATTATATCTTTATTATCATCACACAAGGAAGAAAAATGGAAGCATCAAGCTCGATTAATACATGGGTTTATTTATTTATTTATTGAACATATTTTACAGATCAGTATGGATGCAACGAATAGCTCAGGAGGGACACACAGAGCGACACAAGAGAATGGATAGGAACCTGTACGGTTAGAAAAATCTAACTTAGAATTTGCACGCGTGGAGAAAATCAAGAACACACTTTCACGACGAGATGCAAGTAAACACGAAAGAAGGTCTTACAAGGTCAAGAAAAAAAAAAGGAACGATATTAAAATACATTAAAATAATAAACTACGTGGTAATTAGAAAGCTCAGGATAGATAGGGCCATGCTTTATCATGGACAAGCTATAGTCATCGTCTCCAATCAACTTTTTCCCAATCGACCCATCTCGAATTCACCTGCATACGAATCAGAAACACATTCATATTGTTTACACGCACACGTACATATATGGCCACGTGTATATGCATGTCTGTATTCTTGTTATGTATATATATACACACACCTTGACGGCGCTCAGGTGTTATCACTTCCCTTCCCTCCATGAAATGTTCTTCATTTCCTCCTCTATATCGAGAGAGAGAGAGATGTGTAGTCATGAATACATCGTGTGTGTGTGTGTATATATATATATATATATATGTGTGTGTGTATGTATACATTGGACCAATACTTACGACTGGATGGGACGTGCAAAAGTGAGACATAAATAAAAATAATAAAGAAAGAGAGTGGGGTTTGTTCAATTATTTTCGAGCGATGTTCCTTACAACAACGTAGAGGGTCCTATAGCCCCCCCGTACGATCAATGGAGAGTCACACGTGCGCTACTGACCTACCTATCTTACACTTTTATTATATATACATATATATATATATATATATATATATATATTCTTCTCTACTTTTAATCTGTAAACTTTCTGTTAATTTTATTAGATTTGACAGTCTTTTTTTTTTCAATTTCTATTCTTTTCTCATGTCTTATGATCCTCATTTATTCATTACATCCAAAACCCTAAACCCTAATTTTATCTTATAAAATCCAACATTCTAATATCTAAACCATAAATCCTAAACATAAGATTGAAGATGGTTTAGGATTTTCAATATTAAATTAGTACTAATCAAATTAGAAGAATAGATAGAGAAAAAATTGTAAAATTAGCAAGAAAATTTAAAAACTAAACTTATAGGAGATTAATACATACGGTTATACTTCTTTCTTTCTTTTTGTAGATTTTCTATAGTTTAAAAGTCTAGAAAGATATTATTCTTATAATATTAACATATATTATATTGTATTTTGTTATATATTAGAATGTATTCTTGCAATCATCAATAATAGAAAAATATTTCTCGTTCAACATTAATTAAACATACTTACAAACATATACATATGTTTATATATACGTTTATATATACATCATTACACGAACTGACACAATAGTTAAATTATTATGTTATATCTATAATATTAGATGCAATATATTCAACTTATAGATCTATTTAAGACCCGAAAAAATATCGAAAATTAACTTGATCTATCATAATCTAGAAACTAAAGTAGAATGTGAAATTGTATATGATCCAAATCAAGATAAATATATATATGTGTATAAATATGTACATGTGTGTGTATAGGTATATAAATGTATAAAAAGAGATTGAAGGAGAGGAGGAGATGATATGATGAAATGGGAAAAAAAAAAGAAATTAAAAGAAGCAACTAGGGTTTGTCTGAGGAAGATGAGGAAACTGATGTGACCAAAAGAAAGACATAAAGGAGAGTGTATATATTCATACGTTCGGACCAAAACATTTCTCCTCAAAATTACCAAGGCCACTTTTCCACTCTCTTAAATCATTCATCCCCTCTTACTATATATATATATATATATATATATATATTTATTTATTTATTTTTTAGATTGTTACACTAATTAGTACACGCAATCTTATATAATCGATACACCCACAATTCAATTAATGCATACGAAACTAATAAGTAGCCAAGGAGAGGAGGACCCATGAAGGAAAAAAAAAGATGAAACAAAACCTGCAAAGATTCTTTCTTGTGTGGAAGAAGATGTAAGATGGACTGTTTACCTTTATCATTTTCTTGATTATATATATACATATATATGTCACACGCTACATTAATATTAATTTTTGCATTTCAAAACCTATTTATATTTAAATAAATATAAACTTTGTAAATCATATTAAAGTTAACTCTACACACGGATATGGTAACTCAAAAGATTACGTGGCAATTTTAAATTCGTCCGTGTACCTGATGATGTGGTAACGTTTTGTCAAAATCAAAATAACCACGTCATTATTCGAGTTAACATATCAATATCTAGAATTAAATTTAATATGATCTACAATGTTTAGATTAATTTAAATATAAATATCAAAATTCGGATTTTAAAATGTAAAAATTAAAATTTATATTTTATTGACAGAAATTTGATAATTCAGTTACAAATATTCTAATTTTCCAAAAAAATAGTATTTTTAAAAGCAATACAGCGTAAAACGACAACGTTTTGGATTGAAGAGACGTACACGCAGTTTGAAGCTCGTGGAAAAATACATTTGATAAAGGTCCCCTTGTCACGATTAACTTCACGCGCCCTCTTTTTTGGGCCTGTAGTGGGCCTTTCATTTTCACAGTCGTCTTTTACTGTTTCTTATCCGTCGGAGAGCTTCCACAAGAACTCCGGCGACGACGACGATGGCGCTCGTCACCCTCTTCGTGTCGGCGACGAAGATTGCCGGAGTCTTGGCGACGATTACCGTAGCGGCCAATGCGTTCTCCTACTCCCGTTTCCGGCGCCAGAATTTGCGGCGGTTCCGGTCTCCGATCGACGAGTCGGCGGATGTTCTCGCCGATTTCAGTTCCGACGGTAAGGCTATCACATCTTCTAGAAATGGAAGCTGTCGGTTCGTGTTTTGGTCGTTCTTACAACGAGCTAGTGGTTTTAAGTAGGTTCTTTGCTGGTATCGCTGTGATTGAGTTTAGTTTGTTTATCGGTTTTGTGGCATCTAGGAAAGGTTGTTTCTGCACATTTAGGGGCTCTTTGTAGAATTTGGCTCTAAAATTGTTGGCGGATTTCTGATGGAACTGTTTTCCGTAGCTTAATCGTCCCAAAAAGGCTTGTTTGTTCTCTCTGTTCTTGTTTTTTCTTTGGGACTCGAAAGATTGATAAGTTCTACACTCGTTTGGTTCAGAGAATGAGAATGGTGGATTCTTCTTCGGGTTGGCTACGGCACCTGCACACGTGGAGGACCAGCTCAATGATGCTTGGCTCCAGTTTGCAGAAGAACAACCTTGTGACAAGCCAGAATCACAACCTGACAAGCCACTGGCAGATGCAGGGAAACGAAATCTAGCTTAATCTGTGTGGGCAATTTGAGGGGTGTCTCCGAGTTCTCATTGGATTTTCTGAGAGATAGGGTTAGGGTTAGGGCTTCGTGTAACGGTTTGCCACTGGCAGATGCAGTGACGGGTTCGGTGGCTGCTGATGGAGGGGCTCAGGGAGTATCGACGGGGAATAAGAAAGGGAAGAAAAAGAAACGTCTTGAGCTTACTATGAAAACAATGATCAGAAAGTTGGAGAAGTACACGGATGAAAAAACAGAAGAGCCTGTTTCCAATGAAAAATGCCATCACAATGTTGCTGCGTGGCATAACGTTCCCCATCCGTGAGGCCTTGTTTACTCTTATTTACGTATTAGCTGCTTCTCTTCCTGACAAGCACACCTAATAGGGTGCTTTGTGATAATGACACTGCACTGTTAGCTGGTGCGAATGAACTTTCATGATTTCTTTCAGGCAGGAGAGGCTAAGGTTTTGGTCTGATCCTGAGACAGAACTGAAGCTAGCCAGAGATACTGGAGTCACTTTGTTTAGGATGGGAATTGATTGGTGTAGGATCATGCCAAAGGAACCGATCAATGGGGTTAGGGGAGCAGTAAGTCAAATAGCCCTGAATCCTGCATTTAGAAAAATGTTTTTGCCGTTCTGGTTCATGATGTAGTGTTATACTGCTTTATGTCCCCAGTCAGCTGCGTTGTTTTTTGTTTTTGTTTAACTTGTTTTTTATTATATTGCTGCCTTCTAGGTAAACTTTGCAGCCCTTGCACGGTATAAATGGATAATCAATAGAGTTCGTGCCTACGGAATGAGGGTGATGCTGACCCTGTTTCATCATTCGTTACCGCCATGGGCTGGTGATTATGGTGGCTGGAAGATGGAGAAGACTGTCGACTACTTCATGGATTTTACCAGGTGATCTTCTATATGTTTTATGCCTTAAGCTATGATTAAGTCAGTTTTTGGGTAGCTACATTTATGGTCTAACTCTTTTCTTTTTGGGTCATGTAGGCTTGTTGTGGATTATGTGTTCGATATGGTAGACTATTGGGTAACGTTTAATGAACCTCATGTCTTCTGCATGCTTACCTACTGTGCCGGAGCTTGGCCTGGTGGTAATCCCGATTTCCTGGAGGTGGCTACATCTGCTCTACCTATGGGTGTTTTCAATCAGTCCTTGCATTGGATGGCTGTTGCTCACTCAAAAGCCTATGATTATATTCATGAAAAAACGTCAGTTTCTTTTCTGACAAACACAAAGCTCGCTTGGTGGCTTATGTCACAATTAGTCTTCTTCACGAGTTCTATAAAGTTTTTTTAGTTGTTTTATTTAGTTTCTCTGATTTAATTCTATTTTTTTTCTTCTCTGTTTCAGGGGCTCTACGGGAAAAGCTTTGGTAGGGGTTGCACACCATGTCTCCTTTATGCGGCCGTATGGCCTCTTTGATGTTGGTTCTGTTACACTTGCCAATTCTCTCACAGTATATCCATTTCTGGATAGCATTGCTGACAAGGTGGATTACATAGGCTTAAACTATTATGGGCAGGTAGATCTGGGGACTCAAATGCCGAAGTCTTAAATTTTCCTATCTAAATTATTGTTTGGATACCAAGTTTACACATCATGACTTCATGAGCAAATGAATATATGGAATTTACTTCTGAAACCAGGAAGTAGTCTGCGGTCCTGGATTAAAGCTCGTAGAGACAGATGAGTATAGTGAATCTGGAAGAGGGGTATATCCCGATGGTCTCTTCCGTGTTCTGATGCAGTTCCATGAGAGATACAGACATCTAAATGCTCCTTTCATCATCACAGAAAACGGGGTTTCTGATGCAACTGATGTGATTCGGCGGCCTTACTTGATCGAACATCTCCTTGCTACTTATGCAGCTATGTTAATGGTTTCTCTCTAAAGCTCTCCTACTTAACTAAAAGAATTTCCCCTGCTTTCTAGAAGCGGTGGTGACTATTGTCTCTGTTACTTTATTACAGGGTGTTCAAGTTCTTGGTTACCTGTTCTGGACTATTTCCGACAACTGGGAATGGGCAGACGGATATGGTCCGAAATTCGGACTTGTTGAAGTTGATCGAACCAGTGATCTTGCCAGGAACCCCCGGCCGTCATACCATCTCTTTTCAAAGGTTTATTTGTTATGTTTCCTCTTTGGTTCCACTGCTTGTTCTCCGCTCGCGGGGTTCTCACTCTGTTTGTGATGGGCTTTTTCATCCTACAGATAGTGAAAAGCGGTAAAATCACACGTCAAGACCGATCCCGTGCTTGGACAGATCTCCAAAGAGCTGCCAAAGAGGGTAAAATGCGCCCCTTTTACCGCGCTGTCAATAAACATGGTTTAATGTACGCAGGTACGTACAATCTCCAGCTAAAACCCTAAAGGAAGATCGATTCTTGATTGTTGGGACTTAAAATGTATAAACCCGGGTCGGTTTGGTTCATAAGTCTGAACCTCTTCCTGTTTGAGCAAAAATTTCGGGAACTATACACACATACACAACCCCCCTTTTAGTTAACTATAGTAGTCTTGGACTCGTTTTATATATTCAAGTTACATCTTAAAGTCCAACAAACTATTTATACTAATAGATCAATGTGATATGATACATGGTCAATCCCATGATCACTAATCGGTGAAAACAAATTCCCGTCGTCGTTTTTTTTACAGGAGGCCTGGACGAGCCTGTGTTGCGGCCTTACGTCGAGAGGGAATGGAGGTTTGGGCACTACGAAATGGAGGGTCTTCAGGATCCGCTGAGTCGTTTGGCGAGATCCCTTCTCCTCTGGCCTCTTTCCATCAGGAGGAGCAGAAAAGCCGATATGGAGGACACTAATGATGATGAACTCATTCTTCAGCCTCTCCACCTTAGCCACTGATTAGGAATTCACCAACACATTCGTTCTCGTTCTTGTAACTATTTCCATGTTCTCCGAATGAAAAGAAAACTGTCAAGTCCTTTGGTATATGTAACGGAAAATGGAAAACCGGCACGATTTTCTTGCGCACAACCCTGGAACGGTACGCTGTTCACTCGACGAATCGAGTCTATGCGAGTCCGAAGTCTTTGAAGCTTCCTTCAATTTTCCCGGTCTGTGTTGACTGTATATGATGTGCTTGGTTTTTTTTCTTTCAACTGAAGTTACTAGAATATATGTGTATAGACTGATATTGATTTCCTTCAATAATGGAATCAATGATATTAAATATAAACATAAGAATATTATGAAATACACACACATATATACACTTTGATCAATGTTTTTTTTTGTCAGTACAAGTAGATCTTGGTCCTGCTG